ACAGGGGTCTCAGACATACCTGTGCCAGGAGCCCTGGCTCTCCCTGTTACTAAAGCACCAGGGAACCATTCGACAATAACAAACCAGGTTCTGCTCTCAGGAGAGACCCTACAATAACAAACCAAACTGCACCAACCCCGTGCATGGAGACCCTACAATAACAAACCGGATTGCACAGCCCCAGCGCTCAGGAGAGACCCTACAACAACAAACCAAACCGCACCAACCCCGTGCATGGAGACCCTACAATAACAAACCGGATTGCACAGCCCCAGCGCTCAGGAGAGACCCTACAATAACAAACCAACCACACCAACCCCGTGCATGGAGACCCTACAATAACAAACCGGATTGCACAGCCCCAGCGCTCAGGAGAGACCCTACAACAACAAATCAAACTGCATCAACCCCGTGCATGGAGACCCTACAATAACAAACCCGATTGCACAGCCCCAGCGCTCAGGAGAGACCCTACAATAACAAACCAACCACACAGCCCTCAAACTCACAAGTCTTTGCAGCCCCAGAGCTAACGCACAGCCCACACTGTTTAAAATGCAGATTCTGGTGCAACCTTAACTAAGGCAGAGTCAGCACCCAACGGAGTTGTTAGAATCAAAGTGACCCCTTGCCTGGCTCTGAGATACAGCCACCTCTGGGTTGGGGCAGCTGGGGAACAGCCACACATAACACTGCAAAGGGATGGCTCACCCAGCACTAAGATGCAGTCACCTTTGGGCCACGGCACCTGGGGAATTGAGGCACAGCGCAACCAGATGCCTAACTTCCAGTGGGGAGTCTGGGGGCAGCACTAGGAACTGAACAGGGGGTCACCGAAGTACTAGGCTGGAACCCTGACCACTGGCCCATCCTTGCTCCCTGTTCCTGAGTCTGTCACCTAAGATCCGCGAGTCTGATTTGCTCGGGAGAGAAGCCAGGGCTTTGGGGTAACATGGGGCCAGAACTTGGCATCTCTTGGTTAAAGGCAGGTGGGGTGAAACTCCAGAGTTCCTGGCTGAGAAGTCACTGCTGTTACACTGAAAGGGAAACTGAGGCTAACAGAACCCAGGACTCCTGGCTCCCAGCCCTCCCCCAGCTCTAACCACTAGACCCAACTCCCCTCCCAGAGCAGGGGATAGAACCCAGTGCAGCAACTATCCATCAGCCTCATAAAAGAGAAGCATTAGCCCCTCCCTTTAAGATCCTTAATTGTGCTGCATTGGTTCCTGACCCTGCCAGCCGAGCTCCCACCCATGCCCAGAAGCATAAGTGTGGCCACCCCCCGGTTCTCCTGTCACCAGCCTCTAATGCTGCCCCGAAGCCCCCTTGTCTCCTGGAGACACCTACCCGGAATCCACAGGGTGTCTCCAAGCATCCGATCTCCGGGGTCCAGCCGAGACCTGGGAAGGGTTTATGTCCTTGGGATGGGTACCAGCGTCTGCCAGCCTCGATGGCCGGCTCTCCAGAGCCAGATGGGCACGATGAGGAAGTGACAGAGCAGGCACCCAGCACAATGGCTCCCTTTGTAGGGGAGTTCGGGGCCAGATGTGGGGCAGGGCTTCTGTACTGATGGGAGGAGCAGCGGGGACGGGGGGAGGAAGGAAAAGGGAGTTGGGGTGGGATCTGGGAGTCAAGGGGGCTGGGGCCAGAATCTGGGGTGGGGGGAGGAAGATAGGCAAGAGGAGCTCCCCCCTCTACACACATAGAGCATCCCCACACCCTCCAGAGCCCCAATAGATACACACACACTAAAATACAGCCCCCAGCCCCCCCCAAAACAGCCCCCAAGCCAATGTTCCTCAGCTCCCATCCAGCTCCAGGGCATGGCTTGGGGGGAATGGGGCACAGGGGCTTTTCCCTCTAGGGGGCACCAGCTCCAATTTGGCCCCAGGACGGGGACTGGCTGGCTCAGGGGGGCAGGAAATGGGGCACGGGGCCTTTCCTGTCTGGGACGGGGCTGGGAATAGGGAGCTCTGCGTCCACAACCATCAGCCCTTTCCCCGGGGCAGATGTGTCTGGCTGGGATCTGGGGCTGAGGCCTCGGCCAGCGAGTTACGGGGGGGGGGGGGCTCTCAGCAGGGGCTGGATTCGCCCCAGGGATCGGTGGCGAAAGGCCAGCGAGCAATCCGCGCCCAGGCAGCCCCCGGCGCGGCTCCTCGATGCTCAAAGGCCAACCCTGCCACGCTGCCGGGGGGACTCAGATGCTGCAGGCACAGCTGGGCCCACGACGCCACTGGTGGGCTCCATAAAGACGGGCAAAACTTCACAAAACGTGGGCCCGGTGTAGAGCCTGGTCCTTTAGGAGCCACAGGTCCCAGGGCCAGCCAGCGCCGCGTGCAATTGATTAGACCCAGCTGAGATGCATCAGGTGTTTTCTAGGAAGGACTGAGCCAGGGGTGGTTGGGGGGGATGCAGGAAGGTGGGTAGGTGACTGATTGATTGATTGATTGATTGATTGATTGGGCTAGCTGTAGAGCTGAGTGAAGAGCCCCTGTAGCCTGCGCATTATGTTCTACTTTGCCCGTGTTGTTTGAGTGAATAAAGCAACGCCCAGGAAAAGGGACCTGAAAGAATCAGACAGACCTGCCGTGGCATAAGAAGCCTTCGAGGAATCGTTGTGTTAGATTATACCCAATGGGGCAGCATAGCCGGATCTAAAACCGAGATCTCCCATGCAGGGTGTTTGAACCAGGTGCCCAGCTGGCCAAGGACAAGCATCCTTTGGAAGGAAGATTTCCATGAAGGAACAGTGTCCTTGGCAATTTTACTCGCCACTGTTGCTACACTATGTATATATATAGGCTTGGGAGGATTAGCTTTTTATCGGTAGATGTCGATTTCACCATACAGACGCAATGGGGTTGCCAGTTTTGGTTGGACGTATTCCTGGAGTTTCATCACGCCACATACTCTTTCATTAAAGGTTACTCTTTTGTTCCTGGAGGCTCCAGGGCAATCCTGGAGGGTTGGTGATGCTACACACAGACTGACGAAAAATGATTCCCACCGACAAAAGTCCAAACTTACCGACAGGCAAAGTAAGAAAACGGGAGCTTGCGAGATTATCACCGTTTGATTTCGGGGGGTTTACTTTGTATATCTGGAGCTGTGATGTTGACAACTTGAGTTCAATGGCTCAAGAGCTTTGTTGTTTTGAATCTCCACGTCCAGAAGGGGCCGTCGGTGGCAGAAGACGCTCGTGGAAGGACGAGGTGGTGTCCTGGATGGATCAAAAGGAATAGTCATCCCTGAAGAGGTTCACCGAGGATCATACAGAGAACTCCAGAGATGGAGCTGCCCCATCAGAAGGAGATCACTGCAGGACCATTATGTCACTGTTGTTGTGATTATTTGTACTGTCATCATGCCTGAGAGCACCACAACCCCACTGTGCTAGGAGCTGTACGTTATCATTTATTAGGTGCATTACAGGAGCAGTAAGCAGCCTTAGGCGTGGCCCACAGCTCCATTGTGCTAGGTGGTGTACATTATTAGTGCATTACAGTAGCATGTAGGCACCCCAGTCAGGGACCAAAACCCCATGGAGCTCAGCATCGTATATTACTGGTGCTATTTATTAGGTGTATTATGGTAGCATGTAGGCACCCCAGTCAGGGACCAAAACTCCCTGCTGTACATTAATAGTGCAATTTATTAGGTATATTACGGTAGTGCCTAGGCCCTCCATTCATGGCCCAGGGGCCAGTTGCACCAGGCGCTGTACAAACACAGAACAAAAAAAAAGACAGTCAGGGAGGGGGCCGGTCTCATCACATTGCAGTTTGCTGACACACATCTGCGGCTGGCCCCGGAGCTGAAGTGGAAACAGAGGCACGAATCGCCTGCTGCCAGATTGGGCAGGCAGCAAGCTGAACCCAGCCTGCCTGCACCGATGCAACACGTGCCCGACCCAGCGTGCCCTAGCGCAGCATATGCCAGCTGCTAACCCTCTGCTTGCCTGCGGTTTAAATCCGCCTGTGTGCGCCAGAGACCAGGGCAAGTGCTATGTGGCAGCCAGCAGGACAGTGTGCGTACTAGTCCCTGTCATTAACCCCCCTTTCGGAGAGGTGGTAGCTAGATGGACAGAAGAATTTCACCACTGACCTAGCTGCGCCCACACTGGGGGTTGACCTCACTAACTCGCCCCGGGTCGATCTGATTTCTAGATGTCAATTCAATAGCTCTTCCCCCTTTCTGCTGTTTACCCTCGAAACAGTTGGTGGGCTAAGCCAGCCAACCTCTTTCAGTCAGTCCCCTCTCCTAAGATCTGCTCTGCATTCCCCTGAGCCTCAGAGCCACCCACCTCCACGCCTGGTCCAGCGTGAAGCCAAGGATTTCGAGATGAACTTCATCCATTTCTTGTGTGGCAGCCACCAGGCCAGAGGCCCAGAAACCTTCCTTCGTGGTTTGTTTGACCTCTAGCGTGGTTAAGCCAACTGCGGCCCCGGAGAGCCCATCCCCGCTGCGTCCTGGCACACGTCTCCCAAACGTTTAAGGTGCCACGCCCTGCAGGTGCCCAGTGCAAAGCTCCGCTCTTGATTCACGCACGCACGTTCCCGGGGCTTGCCCAGGGCTGGATTCAGGCAGTCAGAGAAGTGGCCGTATCTGAAGACCCCTCGGTTGGCTGGCCCCTGGCGCGGGGTGAGAAAGCTGGTGGCAGTCACGGAGCGTCCCATCCCGCTGGACAGGCACACAAAGGCCGTGCTTGTGAGCGCCCATGAGTCACGGCGATCCTGCGGAGCAGTGTGACTGATTCATCGCGCAGACAAAGGCAGCAAGGAACAGGATCACCGGCCACCGACCCCTCGCAGTTAGGAGCAGAGAATTGGCTAATTGTTCCGGGCAGCGGGGCGGGTAATTAACTCACCCCAGAGTGTGCTGGCCGGACCCATCTGGATACCTGCAGCCGTTCTCCTCCTTCTCCCCTTGTAAACACAAGGCAGCAGGACATGGGAGAGAGTGGGGGGAGGGGAGGAGTCAGGACTCCTGGGTTCTGTCCGAAGCTCTGGGAAGGGAGTGGGGTCTAGTGGTGGGAGCAGGGAAGGCAGTGAGTCAGGACTCCTGGACTTTAGCCCCAGATCTGTGAGAAGAGTGGGGTTGAGTGGATAGAGCCATGGGGAGGGCAGCTGGGAGCCAGGACTCCTGGGTTCTATCCCTAGTTCTGCTCCTTACCCAAGGCCTGAGCTAACTGGACCTCTTGCCCTGGGGTAGCATGGCGAGGAGGGATACCGGGGTAGATGGGCCCATTGCTTTGATCCAGCGCAGAGTGGGCTACGCAGCTGATAACTGGCCTATGGAGAGGAACTGAGGCAGGGAGCTGACTCCAAACAACCCCACACCATCATGCTGAGCAAGGAGAGGCTGGTAAGTCTATGGGAACAGTGACCCCTACTGGCCAGGTGGGGTGCCTACCTCGTGATGGCACTTTAAAGGTGGCTGGGGCATCTGTATCTGAGCACTGGCTTTTTAGCTCCCTCTGCTGACTGGGGTAGGCACCTAGCTTTAGCATGCAAGTAAAATCAGGGCGGCAAACCCCTGCAGCACAGGGCCCCCTAGCGTCACGCTGGGGCATCGGGGCCAGTCCTGACTTCCAGGGGGGAGCCCCCAACCCTGCTCCCTGCAGCACCGCGCCCCCTAGTGCTATGCTGGAGCATTGGGGCCACCAGCCCTGATTGCCAGGGGAGAGCTCCCACCCTGCAGCACAGCGCCCCCTAGCATCACTCTGAGGCATCGGAGACAGCCCTGACTGCTGGGGGAGAGCGCCCACCCCGCTCCCCCTAGCTGCCTAGCGCACACCTAGCCAAGCTGCTGGTCAATATGTTTATTCCCCAGTCGGCTGCAGCCCCCTCAGGCCATGACGGCTCCTGGCTTCCTGCGGCAGGACTGCAGGATGCTGAGGAAGAGGAGGAAGAGGAGGAAGATGGACAGCCCCACCACCAGAGACTCGATGGCCGAGTAGGCACGGGTCAGCTCTGGGGCGGAGGCCAGCACCCTAGGCGGGGTGACCAGGAACTGGCCCACCAGCTGCCCGCCCACGTAGCACTGGTAATAGCCGGCATCGGTGCCATTCCAGGAGGAAAGCAGCAGGGTCCCGCCACCGGTCGCCTTGTCCAGGCCAATGGAGCCGTTGCGCTGATGAAGGTCCAGCCAGGTCAGGGCGGTGGGGCCTTCCTGCCAGTACACGGGGCTGGGAGCAGAAAGAGAGAGGTTAGGAGAGCCTGGTGTGGGCCTTGCACATGCTCACGGGGTGCCAGGACTCCTGGGTTCTCTCCCCAGCTCTGGGAGGGGAATGGGGTCCAGAGGTTAGAGCCAGGGGGCTGAGAGTAAAGCATTACCCTGCTGGGGGGCACCAGCTCCGATCCAGCCCCAGGGCAGGGAACTGGCTGGCTCAAGGGGGTGGAGAATGGGACCCCTCTAAGGGGTGCTGGCTGGAATGAGTTCAGCCAGTCTCTGTCCATTTCAACTGGCACTAACCAGCCCCCTTGCTCTCATCACCAGAGGCCAAAGGCTGGCTATCCATGGAGCCTGATCTCCCTTAGAGGGAGACCCTGGGGGGGTGGGGGTGTCTGGGGTGCTGGGCTAGGGGGGCTAAATTGGTCCAGGGTGGCTGGGACAAGGATGGTGGGAATCTCTCCCTCCTCCCTGCGCTTATCTATGGAATTAACAGGCAGCAAAAATGGCCTTCAGCGTCTCCCAGTGAAACTACCTGAGATGTGCCTGGCCCACAAGATGAAATTACCACAATCCCCACAACAGCTGATGCCAACCCCACCAGAGCCTTAAGCACAGGCTGGGGCTAGAGTGGGATCAGATTTGCCAGTGGTAGACGTCTGCAGCCAGGAGCTAAACTCATCTGCACCAATGTGTTATGAACATACACAGCCGGGCAGGGCTGGAGGGGGGATGCCACCAAAACAGGCCTCATGCAGGATTTTGTGCATGGTTTGAAACCTAGACACTAGTGCTTGAGCTACAGGAGAAGCATGGCTAGCTGGAAGCGGTAGTAGGTTATTCTCCAATGCGTCAGCCACAAGAGGGCAACCTGGCATTCACTTTTAATGAGGCGTTCCATCGAAAAATTGCGAGACTGCCTTAAAAATCGTGAGATCAGCTCCAAAAACTCTGTTTGGTTTAAAAAATGGTGAGATTGGCTTTAAAAAATGTCTGAGGCTGGCTAAAAACCTGCGAGAGCAGCTTCCAAAACTCATACGGGTAAAGAAATGATCAGTGTCCGGTTGGTTTTAATTGGCCTTCTGATGTTGGAGGTGGGAGGAGTCACATTTCCAAGGGTTTCTGTGGAGCCATGAGGACTAGTCATGCTTCTTCCGTGAAAGCTGAGAGGCTCGAGAACTAACATGATTCCAGCGGTTGAGGGCTTTAGGAAAATCGTGAGTCACAATAAACTCACGAGAGCTGGCACCACTGGATGCTACCAGAAAATAGCGCCCGGGGAAGGAATTAACGAGAAGATGTGATTTTCTGTCGGGATCTGAGATGAAGTTAGGGGATGGTGAAAGCTACGGGTCAGAAGCCCCCAGAGGTGGAATTTGTATCCCCTGAGCAGGAGCTAGACTCATTTGGAGCCAGGCCGCCTGGGTTCATAGCCAGCATCTCTTGTATTAAAGTGTGATGGGGTTTTAAAAGACCATACCCGGGCAGGGACTTGGTGTTACACTTTGCTAAGGATGGCATTGACACCAGCATTGATTAAGAGGGGAGAGCGCCCCACCCCACTCCCTGCAGCACAGCGCCCCCTAGGGCTATGCTGGGGCATTGGGGCCAGCCCTGACTGCCAGGGGAGAGTGCCCCTCCCCTGCCCCCTGTGGCACATTGCCCTCTAATGCTGGGCTGGGACCCCTTTGTTCCAGGCACTGTCTCCTGATCCCACAGCTCAGTTTCGACCACGGTGAAAGTTCAGTGCGGTGGTAATTTATTAACCTGGCTCCCCTTCCCAACACCCACACAGGAACCAGCTCAGTGCAAACAGGCTGGGCTCAAGTTCCTTCTGACTCTTTCCAACCTACCCCCGAATGCTCCCGGGGGGATCCTCCAGCTTCACCCCACCAAGGAGCCCAGATTTATCCCCATACATTCCGGCTGGATTCTGCCACAGACCTGAGCTCCTGGCTAGGGGATAGATTTTTAGAGATGGGGGGAATATTGCTTTAGATGGGCTGCCCATGCATCTGATCTGGGGTGGGGATACCAGCTTAGGTGGGCCCATAGCTATGATCTGGGCTAGCAGGGAGGGGGCCTGATACCAGGGTAGATGGGCCCATGGGTCTGATCCAGGGGTGGAGGGTTGGGATACCTGGCTGCATGGGCCCCTGGGTCTCCCCAGCATGGAACGGCTCCCTGTACCTGTATATAGAGGCTGTTGGGCACCTCAGCCTGGCGTGGGCGTGAGGTAGGGCTCGGTAGCGGGTGACGACAAGGAGAGGGGCCCTGCCCAGTTCATCCCGGCTGGGGCCGTAGGCCCTGTCACATGGCACCTCACAGCTCTCCACCCGCAGCTCCGGCCCCCTCTGGGGCAGCCCTCGCCCGGCCACCCCGCATGGCAGGGGCCCCTCGGGGCGTGATGCCAACCGGGCGTAGCAGAACCCCACCCGCTTCCTCTCGCCGGGGCCTCCGCAGCGGTCGCAGGGCTGCCAGCGTGCCCAGGCGGTGAACAGCTGGCCCCGGGCCCCGCCAGCCAGATCCACGGTGGTGTTAGCCAGGGTGGCCTCTCCCAGGCCGGCGTGGCTGATGTGGAGGCGCCCAGCGTCCTGGAAATCCAAATCGTAGTAGGCCAGCATGGCATCACCGCGGTGACAGCTGTAGATGCCCGAGTCCCCCACGCCAGGATCCAGAATCCGCAGGTCGCCCTGGAGCAGCCGGGTTTTCAAGCGCAGCCGCCACAGCTTGGCGCGAGTGGGGATGAGCGCCAAGGGGTGCCCAGTGCGGATGAAGGTGGCCGGCCGCTCCCCGGGCCGGGAGGGATCCGCATACTGCCAAGAGACTGGGCCCTGGTGGGGGGGGCCTGGGCACCTCAGGGTCACAGGGTTGTCTGAGATCAAGGCCAGGGTGCATGGGCGGCCCGGGAGGCAGGGCTCTGGCAGGGAGACGCCTTGGGATGGGTCGCCATTGGCCACGGCAGAGATCAAGACAAAGAGGAAGCTGAGGGCCACTGCTCGGGGGCACATGGCTGGCTGGGGTGTGCCCAGTGGTTGGAGCAGGAGGCAACGGCTTTCTGACCTCATTGTGATGTCATCTGTCAGAGAGTGAGGTCATAATTGCCCTAGCTCAGAAGGGGCCAGCTGGGGAGCCCCAGGGAGAGCACGCTGGATTCTCAGCTCCCTGGGGTCGATCTGGAGTCACCCCTGACTGCAATGGGGGCAGGGCTGGGTTCTGATCTCAGCTTTCCGGGTCGATCCAGGGTCACCCCACAACAGCAGCAGGGGCAGGGCTGGGTTCTGATCGATCCAGAGTCACCCCTGACTGCAGCGGGGGCAGGGCTGGGTTCTGATCTCAGTTTCCTCAGGGTCAATCCTGAGTCAACCCCCAACTGGTGACTGCAGCGGGGGTCCTGTCACATGGCACCTCACAGCTCTCCACCTGCAGCTCCAGCCCCCGCTGGGGCAGCCCTCGCCCGGCCATCCCTTGCAGCAGGGTGGGGGGACAAGGGCTTCTGCCCAGCAGGGAGGAGGGTCTTGGGGTTTTAGCCCCGCAGGGTGCACCTGCCAGGGCTCGGGGTTTCAGTCCTGCTCCTATTAAGCATATGCCTAACTTTAAGGCTATGTCAACACTGCGCACCTCCCAACAAAATAAAACCACCCCCAACGAGGGGCGGTAGCTTTGTTGGCGGGAGAGCGTCTCCCGCCGACAAAGTGCTGTATACACCCGCACTTTACATCAGTACAACTTTTGTCCACCAGGGGGATGTTTTTTTCACACCCCTGACTGACAAAAGTTTTACTGACAAAAGGGCAGTGCAGACATAGCCAAGTGAGTTCCCAGTGGGAGTGAAGTAATTCCGCTGCAATCACATGCATACGTGTTTGTAGGATTGGGACCTTAGTTTTCTCTATGAAAAGGTTTTGAAAACTTTACTCCCTTCAATACAATGGGTTCCCAAAAAGTTTCCCAAGGATTCTCAAAACCTTTTTCTGCCCCCCAAAAATAACTTTCCTGAACGTTTTCGTCCTTACATTCAAAATCTTTCCCCTCTCTTAGAAAAGATTCGAATACTTTTTCAGCCCTCAACAAAAGTTTTGGAAAACATCTCCTCCACAAAGTTTGAATACCTTTTTGCCCCAGATTTTCATAACTGAACCATGTCTCCTTTCAAAACGTTTTCCTTCCTCAAACAAAGAACTTTTGAAGACTTTTCCTCCATTAAAAAGGAGTTTCTGAAAGTTCCCACCCCTCAAAAAAAGTTTCTATAACTTTTCTGCCTCTCAGGTAAAAAAGTTCTGGGGGAGATAAATATTTGGTGGGAGCTGGATATTTTCTCACTGTTTCCTCACAGTCCCCCTTCGGTCTGTCTGAATCCATATGGTCTCTTCTCTTACACTTACATTGAAAGCTCTTTGGCAACAGGGACTGTCTTTCAGTCCTGTGTTTGTATGGTACCTAGCACATTGGGATCTTGGTCCGTGACTAGGGCACCTAGATGTTACACCAATCTAAATAAAATAAAAAATAATTAATAATAAACCTTTTTAAAAAAATTGGAAGGGGAAAACGTTTTGGAAACTTTTATTGTGCCGAGAGTAAAGTTTTAAAAACTTTTTTTTCCACAGGAAAAGGAGTTTAAACTCTTTTGGGGAGATGGGGAAAAAATTTGAAACTGATTTTTTGCAGAGGGAAACGTTTTTGAAATTTTTGTGGAAGAAGAAAAAGTTTTGGAGACTCTTCTTGGAAGGATAAAGGGATTTCAAAACTCGTAGTAAAGTTTCAGAAACTTTTTTTTAATAGGAAAAGTTTTTGAAACTCTTTTTGGAGGCAAAAACCATTTGAAGCTTTCTTTTGGAGATGGAAAAAGTTTTCAAAACATTTGTTGAACATGGAGAAAAGTTTTAAACACTGTTTGCAAAAAAGTTTCCAAACCATTTGTTGGCAGTGGAAAAAGTTTCAGAAACTTTTTTGGAAGGGGAAAAAGTTTTGAAAGTTTCCCCTTCCCCCTCCAAAAACAGGTTTCTAAAACTTTTCACTCCCAATGTTGTTTCCTTCTTTCTAAAGTCTTTAAAACTTTTTGGACAGAGTCTGTTAGATCAAGAGGGCTTTGGGCCTGAGGCCAGTGGAAAAACTCCACTTTGATCCCAATGCTACTGGCCCTGTAAGAAAGAGAAACATCAACACACACAGGGCCACACACACACTTTGCCTGGCTGCACCTGGGACAGCCCATTTCCCAATTATGTGAGGGGTGCTATATTTATTTCGCTCCTTCCAACTCCTTTAAAAAGTTACTTTGGTTTTTCCCACCCCTTTCTCAAGGGTGTGCCCCTGGGCCAGTCCATTTTCATAAAGGGGGGAACGTTACATTCACCTTTCCCTCTTTTTAAGGTTACTTTGGTTTCTCCCACAACTTGGTCTAGGCTGTGTCCCTGGGCCAATTCATTGGCATAGGGGGGAGGGTAAACCAACCGAAGTTCACTCCCAATTTCCAAACTACAAATTGGTTTGCCCCAAGTACCCTCCTATGGGTACCTGGGCCGGACCATTTTCAAACCCGGGAGGGGGGACAGGGAGACAGGTGAGGGGTTTGTGTATTTTAAAACCCAGCTTTAAAGGGGAAGGGGGGGCAGCCCCTGATTCAAAGACACGATGGCATCAGAGTTGACAGCCCACGCCTGAGGGGCTGCTGCGCAGGAGGGAGGTATTTCTCTTCTCCCCCCTCCCCCAACTCCCGCGAGGAAGTGGTACGTCCCGCCTCTTGGGCGAGGCTGCAGCACCTGCGCTGGAGACAGACGCGCGGAGCGGACGGGCGAATCCAGCGGGAGTAGGACGCGGCCGAATCAAGCGGGCAGCGCCCCTCCCCCTCTGGCGGGAAGGGGGAGCCTGATGCGGGCGAATCAACCCGGCCTGTGTTGCTTGTGGGAGGCGGGAATGGAGACCCGGGGACCCCAGCTGGCTCTGCGGACTCTGCTGTGGCTCCTGGTCGGCGCATGGGTCTCAGGTAACGTCCCTGCCCGGAGAGCGAGCGACGGCACCGCCATACTCCTCGCCCCGCCGCCCTCCTCTGAGGGGGAGTTGTGCTCTGCGGGGTCTCCTGCCCCGAGCTACAGGGGGCGGGAAGGGAGAAACTCGACGGCTGATTGGAGGGGAGAGGTGTGAGGGGGATTAGCGCCGCCCAGCTGTGGCTCCCTCAGGGTGGGGGTTGCTGTGCCCCCGTGGGGGAGGGGGTTGGTGTGGGTCCTTGAGCTGGTCGTCCCCCCCCCTCCCCCCAGTCTGGGTGTGCTCTTAGCCCTACTAGTTGGAGTGGGGGAGACTCTAGGCGACCCCCCTAGTGGATGTGGGCAGGGTTAGTGTGGGTCCCTGGGCTGCCCCTTGCCTGGGGCCCCACTAGTGGGCATGGGGGGTTGGCATAGGGGTCCCCTTGAGCTACTGGGGCGGTTCAGGGCCCAGCTCGGGGGTCCCAGGTAGCGGGGTGGGGGCAGCTCGGGGGTCCCAGGTAGCGGGGTGGGGGCAGCTCGGGGGTCCCAGGTAGCGGGGTGGGGGCAGCTCGGGGGTCCCAGGTAGCGGGGGTGGGGGCAGCTCGGGGGTCCCAGGTAGCGGGGTGGGGGAGTGGGATCAGAGACTTCATATGTCCTTTCACCTCCCCCAGTTCTGTCTAACCAGCCTGTCTCTCTCTGCGCTGTATGTGTGTGTTTAACTTTTCCCTCCAAGGTAAACAGGTAGCACAAGAAGCTGCCAAATATAGCTCCCTCCTCAGCCCTCACCTTTCCCACAACCCTGGGTTTCATGCCCGCTGACCTGTTCTGCTTCCCACGCCAAGTGAGGTAACTGCGGGGTGTCCTGTGTCACATACATACAGCTCTCCCTGGCGCTGGGTGCACCCCAATCCAAAGACACAGGTGTGGCCTCCTTCCCGGAAGGGCAGCCGCCCTGTCTTGGTGAGCTCACATCTGTCGAAACTCCCTGCTGGGTAATGTGCCTCGAGGGAGGGGCTTTCTGTTACCCATGGCCCTGCGGGGTGGTGTGAATGCAGGGTACTGGAAAAGCACCCTGATCCCTCAGCAAAAGATAGATATAGCTGATATCTCTGGTCAGGATTTCCCCCCTTCCCCTGGGGTGTGGACCCCGGTGTCATGACCATGTTTCCGGTGTAATTGGTGCCCTGGCTTTCCTCCTGCCCTTTAAGTGGAATGCATGCCATACTGTGCACAGAGAACGTTGTTGGCGTCATGACCTGGAAAGCGTTGGGGTCAGTGGTGTTGTGGGTGTTTTAAAATGGCTGCTGTGGGGTCACAGTAGAGGAGGCTGTATTTCCTCACTGAGGGCTTGAGACCTGATAAATCTGAAGAGTCCCAACTCTCTGTCTCCTGTGTTTTAGCCCTGGGTTTGGGTGGGGAGTGGGGTCTAGTGGTTAGAGCTGGGAGTCAGGACTCCTGGTGTCTTTTCCTAGCTCGGGGAAGGGAGGGGTGTGGGGGTCTGGTGGGTTGGAGGAGGAGGAGGAGTTGGGGGCCAGGACTCCCGAGTTCTATTCCCGGTTCTGCCACTCACCTTTATGATATCTAAGCTGTTTTTAGACTTGAAGCTGTGTGGGTTAGTAACCGATGACTTTGAAAAGCACCAGGCTTTCCTGTTTTGAATGCAGTGAGGTCAGGGATTGTTGGGCTAGAAAGGGGCTGGGTGTGTCACAGAATGGCTCATGGGCCAGTGGAAGTGATGGTGATCCAAGTGATGACGAGTTCCTGATTTGCTCTGTAATAAGGAAACAATCAGATGTTAACTCTTTAGGGGCTGCAGTGTGGTCCAAAAGCTTGGCAATTCACTTGAGACCTCTTACGCTTGACTCTTCAATGGCTGTTTACCCTCAAAAGGGGGCGGACAGAGAAGTTAGTCTGGTCATGTCTGAGTCAACCACTGTAATGGAAATCTGACTTCTAGAGTGAAAGGAATGTGGCTTAGTAGTTAGAGCAGGGGGGCTGGGAGTCAGGATTCCTGGGTTCTGTTCCCAGTTCTGGGAGGGGAGTCGTGTCTAGTGGTTAGAATGGCTGGAAGGCAGGACTCCTGGGTTCTTTTCTGGCTCTGTCATTCACTTGCCTGGGGCGTACCCCCTTCCCCATCTGACCCTCCTTGGCCCAGCTGACCTGATCTCCCAGCTGACCCTGCCCTTTCCCTGTTCCAGGCCCTGCCCACGGGATGCAAGTCACGGTGCCGAACCCTTTCAACGTGGTGATCCTCTTCCAGCCTGTTACCCTGCAGTGCAACTATCAGACCTCAGCCACCCAGCTGCCCATAGTCACCTGGAAGTATAAGTCCTACTGCCGGAGCCGCCTGGCCGATGCCTTCAACCCCAGCAGTCAGGAGAACCAGATCAACAACCAGCTGCAGCAGAACAACCCCGGATACAACCCCTATGTGGAGTGCCAGGACAACACTCGCACAGTGCGGGTGGTGGCTACAAAGCAGGGCAACGCCGTGACACTGGGGGACTTCTATCAGGGGCGTCGGATCACCATCACCAACAGTAGGTTCCAGGGAAGGTGGAGGGGTTTTTTTTACTGATCACTTATTAGATAGATTAAAGTAGCATTCCAGGGGGGCGTTGTGCCAGGTGGAGGGCTTGTTGTGGTAGCCCCCGCAACTCGCTTATTAGGTGTGTGATGGGCATTGTACTAGGTGGAGGGCTTATTAGGTATATTATGGTAATACACTGGGTGCAGGGAATTACAACACTGTGTACTCCTGGAGGAATTCTGCGCCACTGTGCATGCACACAATTTGTGTCCCCTTCAGATTTCTTTGCTTCCCCGCAGAAAAATGGCCTTCTGATGGTGAAGGAAAGGGAAGCCACAAGAGCGGTCATATGACCCTCCCCAGCAGTATGTTTTGGGTGCCCAGGGCAGCTGGCAGAGAGGTAAATCACTGTGGTGCAGGGGGCGGGACTGGGGAAGACTTGGCTGGTGGCTCCTACCCTGCGCTGGACTCAGCTGCTAGTCCTGTGGAGGACAGGACTTCCTCTTTCCTTGCACAGCATCTGGGGCTGTCAACCCACCCCCAGATTTCTCCTCTGGCTGTAGGAAGCTCTGTAAACTGCCTCCCTTCTCTCTCTCTTCCCCCCCTGCCCCCCCCCCCCCGTGCTTCTGGCACGCATCCCTCCCCCTGCAGCTGGGGAGCGATAGCTTTACAGGGAGCTGCTCCACCATCTGCCCAACCCCTGTGCATCCAGACTATCTCATCTCCAGACCCTCCCGCTGAGCCTCCCTCACCCCTGACAAGCCTCACTCCCCCTTAACCTGAACCACCCCAGAGAGCCACCTACACCTGGATCCCCACCCTACTGAGTCCGAACCAGCTGCATCTGGATCCCCATCCCACTCCCCCAGCATCTGGACCTCCCCACCACTGAGCTCCCCACATCCAGACCCTCCTGCGCTGTATCACTCTGACACCTGGACCCCCTGCTGAGCTCTGTTCGGCTTGTCGTCCCGTCCCCGCCACACACACCCAGACCCTCCCTGCTAAGCCCCAACCTCTTTCACCTGGACCTCCCCTGCGGAGTTCCATTACCATTGCACCCAGACCCCCCCCCCCAACAAGCACCTCTGTATCCAGATCCCCCTGCACCCAGATACCCCACTGAGCTGCCCACACCCAGATTGCCCAACGCAGTATCCTCTCAACCCACACCTGGATCCCCCCTCATTAAGTCCCTCCACACATGGATCCTGCCTTGCTGAGCCTGCCTGCCCACCCCTGGTGCATCTGGCATGCAGGGGCAGGGCCCTGGGGTCGAAAGAATAGTAAATATGGCAGACGACCAGCTTGGCTTAATGGTGAAATCCTAGCGGATCTTAAACATAAAAAAGAAGCTTACAAGAAGTGGAAGGTTGGACATATGACCAGGGAAGAGTATAAAAATATTGCTCAGGCATGTAGGAATGAAATCAGGAGGGCCAAATCGCACCTGGAGCTGCAGCTAGCCAGAGATGTCAAGAGTAACAAGAAGGGTTTCTTCAGGTATGTTGGCAACAAGAAGAAAGCCAAGGAAAGTGTGGGCCCCTTACTGAATGAGGGAGGCAACCTAGTGACAGAGGATGTGGAAAAAGCTAATGTACTCAATGCTTTTTTTGCCTCTGTCTTCACGAACAAGGTCAGCTCCCAGACTGCTGCGCTGGGCATCACAACATGGGGAATAGATGGCCAGCCCTCTGTGGAGAAAGAGGTGGTTAGGGACTATTTAGAAAAGCTGGACGTGCACAAGTCCATGGGGCCGGACGAGTTGCATCCGAGAGCGCTAAAGGAATTGGCGGCTGTGATTGCAGAGCCATTGGCCATTATCTTTGAAAACTCGTGGCGAACGGGGGAAGTCCCAGATGACTGGAAAAAGGCTAATGTAGTGCCAATCTTTAAAAAAGGGAAGGAGGAGGATCCTGGGAACTACAGGCCAGTCAGCCTCACCTCAGTCCCCGGAAAAATCATGGAGCAGGTCCTCAAAGAATCAATCCTGAAGCACTTACACGAGAGGAAAGTGATCAGGAACAGTCAGCATGGATTCACCAAGGGAAGGTCATGCCTGACTAATCTAATTGCCTTCTATGATGAGATAACTGGCTCTGTGGATGAAGGGAAAGCAGTGGATGTATTGTATCTTGACTTTAGCAAAGCTTTTGACACGGTCTCCCACAGTATTCTTGTCAGCAAGTTAAAGAAGTATGGGCTGGATGAATGCACTATAAGGTGGGTAGAAAGTTGGCTAGATTGTCGGGCTCAATGGGTAGTGATCAATGGCTCCATGTCTAGTTGGCAGCCGGTGTCAAGTGGAGTGCCCCAGGGGTTGGTCCTGGGGCCGGTTTTGTTCAATATCTTCATAAATGATCTGGAGGATGGTGTGGATTGCACTCTCAGCAAATTTGCGGATGATACTAAACTGGGAGGAGTGGTAGATACGCTGGAGGGCAGGGATAGGATACAGAGGGACCTAGACAAATTGGAGGATTGGGCCAAAAGAAATCTGATGAGGTTCAATAAGGATAAGTGCAGGGTCCTGCACTTAGGACGGAAGAACCCAATGCACAGCTACAGACTAGGGACCGAATGGCTAGGCAGCACTTCTACGGAAAAGGACCTAGGGGTGACAGTGGACGAGAAGCTGGATATGAGTCAGCAGTGTGCCCTTGTTGCCAAGAAGGCCAATGGCATTTTGGGATGTATAAGTAGGGGCATAGCGAGCAGATCGAGGGATGTGATCGTTCCCCTCTATTCGACATTGGTGAGGCCTCATCTGGAGTACTGTGTCCAGTTTTGGGCCCCACACTACAAGAAGGATGTGGATAAATTGGAGAGAGTCCAGAGAAGGGCAACAAAAATGATTAGGGGTCTGGAACACATGAGTTATGAGGAGAGGCTGAGGGAACTGGGATTGTTTAGCCTGCAGAAGAGAAGAATGAGGGGGGATTTGATAGCTACTTTCAACTACCTGAGAGGTATTTCCAGAGAGGATGGTTCTAGACTATTCTCAGTGGTGGAAGAGGACAGAACGAGGAGTAATGGTCTCAAGTTGCAGTGGGGGAGGTTTAGGTTGGATATTAGGAAAAACTTTTTCACAAAGAGGGTGGTGAAACACTGGAATGCGTTACCTAGGGAGGTGGTAGAATCTCCTTCCTTAGAAGTTTTTAAGGTCAGGCTTGACAAAGCCCTGGCTGGGATGATTTAATTGGGGATTGGTCCTGCTCTGAGCAGGGGGTTGGACTAGATGACCTCCTGAGGTCCCTTCCAACCCTGATATTCTATGATTCTAGGGCAGACAGAGTCCTTGTGCTGTGTCAGGGTTGGGTGCAGCCTCACCGTTGAGTCTGTGTCCCAGAGTGGGAGCTGCACAGTGATCTCTCCCACCTCTGTGCAGCCAGTGGCCTCTGCTCCCCAATGCCATGCTGGAGCCTCCACATTTATTTGACCAAAAAATTAGCAGAATTTTTTGGTGCAAAAGGCCCTCAGGAGTAACTGTGCCAGGTGGAGGGCTTGTGCTGGTCATTTATTAGGTATTCCATGGTAACCCCCAACTCACTTATTAGGTGTATTACGGTAGCGCTCGGGACTTTTATGAGTGGTGTCCCATCACCATCACCCTCAGTATATATGGGGCAGAGGGACTGCTGTGTGTTTGCTTATTAGGTGCATTCTGGTGGGGCCTAGGGATCCCCCAACTGAGATGGGGATAGCAGGAGGCGGGGGGCAGAGCGTTTGTACTGCTTGCTTATTAGGTGTTTTATGGTAGCAGCCAGAGAAATGGGGGCAGTCCCCGCCCCAGCTGAGATTGGGGCTATAGTGCCAGGTGCTGCACAGACACACACAGTGAGAGACAGTCCCTGCCCCACAGAGCTCATCTAAAGATACAGAGCGGGGATTATTATCCCCATTTTATATTTGGGAAAACTAAGGCACAGAGCGATGTAATATGCCCAAGCTCACTCAGGGTGCCTGTGGCAGGGCACGAACTGAACCCAGATCTCCTGAGTCCCAGTTGAGTGTCTTAACTCCAGGCCCGGATAATTCCTGTTTATGCCGGTGGCGTGTTGGTTTCCAGAAGGAGGGAGCTAATACAGCAGTGGCTTTGAAACTGAAGTGGGAGCTCTGAAAAGAAAGTGCTGCCATTAAGCTATTGGAAGAGAGTTCACCACCACAGAAATGCAGCCACCTCTGGGGTGGAATGCAACAACTCCTTAATAGCCCTTTTGTGTCACTCACCCAGTGCTGAAATGCAGCCACCTCTGGGATTTGGCAAAACAAATATTTAACAGTGGACAGTAACAGGAGAGAGTTTAGGGCAGGTAGCAAAGAATGCTGCGTATGACCGGAAGCAGGTGGAGAAGTTGAGAGGGGCAGAATTGAGCTCCCTATAATAGCAGGAGCATTGTGGCCAAACTCCAACAGTAGTGGGGGATCTTTAACCATTGTGCAAACTGTCACAGTCTCTGTTACACATTTCACCATGCTGGGGCATTCAGGCCAGCGCTGACTCTGCTGGGAGAGCACCCCCACCCAGCTCTTTGCAGCATAGCATTGCTGGGGCATTGGGTTAGGGTGAGGGTGCTGAGTCCCCCATCTGTGACTAGAACTCCTGGGTCCTGTTCCAGCTCTAACCACTCATAGCCCTGCAGTGACCCACACCTGGGTATCAGAACAGCAGTATCTGGTTAAGGTTAAGCTGAGTGCTCTGGTGTCAGATGCTCTGAGCTCCATCAGGAAGGGGAGAGGGATGCTGTCCTGTGATTAAGGCACAGACTAGGACTCAGGCCTCCTGGGTTCAATTCCCATCTCTGCCATGGACTCCTTGTGACCTTGGGAAAAAAAGTCCTTTCCCTCTGCCTCAGTTTCCCCATCTGAGGATAAAAAACCTGCCATTGTGTAGTTTTATTGGAAGCTTTTTGGGACAGGGACGGTCTCTTGCTGTGTGTCTGGGCAGCGCCTGTCATGATGGGGCCTGGATCTCAGCTGGGGCAGGGACTGCATCTCAGCAGTGCCAGGCATGATGGGCCCTGGATATCGGTTGGCTCTACTCCAATACAAATATTTTCAGGTTCTACTGCTTTTGCTGTAGTTTCACAATGTAAATCAACCGCATTGTATTATGGTGGGTCAAAAGTCCACAGCAAAACTCTTTTCCCTGTGATCATGTGTCTAAAACCAACTGGAGCTGTGCTTCAACTGTCTCCAGCCAAACTCTGTTAAATTATCATGCCTTTTCTTTTTGTGTTGTCTTACCCGGAGGCGTTTCTGTGATAACAGCAGCTTTGTTGTAACCTGGCTAAACTGGTGCGTGATTCATGCAGCAAAAATCTTCAGTTTCTAACACTCATCTAGAGTCTTGTGCTTATAAACTCTGGATCACTTCCCCCTACCAGAGTACAGCCAGCTCAGGGGTGGAACACTGCAACTGGCTAACAGCAGTACCCAACAGTTAAGTCATAACCCTAATTACAGCTGATCACAATTCTAATGATTCCCTTACATAACACTTTCCATCCTTGCAGTGCTTTGCAAAGGTTTAATTACCATTTGGGACAGGAAGTGTCAATCTAATTGAAACTATGGCTGAAGATGCAGGTCAGCAGAATTGAACCAATTAGCTCAGGACTCTAGTTATGTCCTAGTTAGGCTGCTAGGTGTCGTGGCTGGATTTTATGATGATCGTTTGATGTCACAGATCCCAGATTTCAGCATCACTCAGTGAATTGGAGCAGCTGGGGACACTGCTTGTTTATAAAGTGTAAAAAGCTTGCTGGCATCAGGGAGAGTGATACTGGAAGGCTGCGTCCAGCTCTGGGGTGCGCTTTTTATGAAGGATGTTGGAAAAACTGCAGAGGGTGTATAGAAGAGCTGCAAAAATAATCCAAGGGCTGGAGTAAAGGCCTGAGAGTGAGAGAATGAAAAAGTTTGATCTCTTCAGTTTGTCCAAAAGAAGATCAGTGGGTGATTTGATTTTTTTCATGGGGAGAAAATCCCAGGTACTAATGAGCTCTTCAGTCTAGTGGAGAATGGTAGAACAAGAACCAACATATGGAAGTTAAAGCCAGACACGCTTCAAGTAGAAAGGAAGGGCAAATTTAACAGCCAGGGTGATTAACCCTTATGACTTCCCCAGGGAAGTGGTGGATTGTCCATCTCTTGGGGTCATTCAATCCAGCCTGGAGGCTTTTCTGGAAGATGGTTTTGTCCAACACAATCTGTGGGTAACAGGGTGAAAGTCCCTGGCCTGTGTTATACAGGAGGCCAGATGAGAGGAGACGTCCGGCCAAAATACAAGATGATCTAATGGGCATGCAGCAAAATCCTAGACCAAGTTTGTCAAAACTGACTCATGGTTCAGGTCCTAAAACCAACAATATACAAGATCTTGGGCATAGGTGAAGTGGCATGTCTGAGGTCAAGGCAAGAGCTGGGGATAGAACCCCGGTGTCCTGACCCCCGGTCTGGCGCACTATCCACTACACCACACAGCCAGGCTAAGTTTCCTCTAAGCCATGTGGCCACACAGCAGGCTATCAAAGACTGCGCAGGGGCAAGAGGTGCCTCTCCCCCGGCCCCGGGACTCCTGCGGCAGACAAGAGGTGCCTCTGCCCCAGCGTGGTGAGAGAGGGCTGCGAGAACTCCTCTCTCTCTCTTCGCTGCAGCCCTGGGGCAGCCAGGACCCCAAACCCCTCATCCCTGGCCACACCCCAGAGCCTGCACCCCCAGCTGGAACCCTCACACCCTTGTATGCCAGCCCTCTGCCCCAGCCCTGAGCCCCCTCCCACACTCCGAACCCCTCAGTCCCACCCACGCCGCACGTCACCTCCATACTGGTGCACATAAAATTCATTCCGCATGTAAAAAATTAGAGGGAACATTGTACATTGGGCTGAAATTTTTCAGACGTAACTAGTGATTTGCGTGGGACTCCTTACAGAGACCTGACTTCTTCTTTTCTTTTTTGGGAAGTCGGCATGTTCTGAAAATCCAGGCCCAGAATCATTACCCACTTCTGAAAAATCTTGTCCCAAAGCTGCCCAGGCCGGGACTCTGGATACCTGGATTCCAGTCTCAGCTCTGCCACTGGGTTGCTGAGATCAAAAGGGCTTGTTCTCTGGCTTCCTGCTACTCCAGCCTGTTCCTGACAGCAGGGCATGGTGGCTTGCGTGCATACTTGAGGGTTTAGTGTTCATTTCGGTTTTCAAAGCCCTCAATTGGTGGAAGTGCCATTGTTCGAGATCAGCAGGTGGGAGCTGCAGCCGTTTAGCCCTGCAGGGAGTATTCCGCTTTTAATTTCTCTGCATAACTTGGTCCCATGAGCCCTGGATAATTCATAGATTTCCCCTCCCGCCCCCCACATCAGAGGCCAGCAGGGACTATCATGCCCATCCAGTCTGCCTTCCTGCACAGCGCAGGCCAGAGAGCCTCCCCCAGGGACCCCCTCCATTTTTGTGGCTGTTTCTCTAAATACTGTCCAGTTGGCTGGTATCTTATCAATAATGTGAAGCCCTGACTCCCAGCCTCCCCAGTTCTAACCCAGTAGACCCCACTCCTCTCCCAGAGCTGAGGATAGAACCCAGGAGTCCTGGCTCTGTGCTGTAAACCCTGGACACTACTACCTTTGCATAGACTATGCTGAAAGGCCTTGTTGGTGCTCTGGCTCTCCTGCTTGGAGACCCCTCCTGCATGTTAGCCTGTGACTCCGATTCTCCTGCCCTGGTTCTGGTGTCTCCAGCTTTGCCTTCATCTGTCTGCCCTGCAGATGCCGACCTCAGCATTGACCAGACAGCCTGGGGCGACAGCGGCGTGTACTACTGCACCGTTACCTCTTCACAAGACCTGCAGGGCAACAACGAGGCCTACGCCGAGCTCGTCGTGCTGGGTAAGTGGCCAGGACTGGGACACAAACAGGTGGGGAGCGGGATGTTCTATTGGGGTTTGGGGGGTGCTGTCGGAGATGCGATGCCAGGCTAGATGGGTCCATGGGTCTGATCTGGGGAGGAGGTGGGATACCAGGCTAGATGGGCTCACCGCTCTGCTCCAAGGCAGCAGGGATCGGAGATTGGCGCATGGGGCTGGGCAGGGGCAGATATTGGGCCAGATTAGGCAGCTACTTCCCTTTCCACACGTTGCTGGTAAATTGGTGTGTGCCATTCTCTGCCCAGTGCCCAACTTCCCCGACTGTGGCTTTTGGAGCAGAGTAACAGCAGCACCAATCAGAGGCATTAGTAGCATTTTGGGCTAGGAAGAGGGTAACCAGAAAGGGGAAGCGGTGACTCCTGCAGCCCACCCAGGGCAGTGCTGTCCTGCTCTCACACAGCTCCTGCCTCCCTTCCTCATCCCCGGGGCCTTTCCGATTCTGCCCCACGGCATCTTCCTCATGGACCCTTTCCTCTCTGTGCTGCTTGCACTGCTCCGCAAACAGGAATTTCAACCTCCCAGTCAGGTAAATAGCAGAGAGGACAGGAGTTAATACAAAGAGACTTAGGGAGCAGAAACTAAGAAGGTTTTTCCAACAGTCCCTTTGTATTAACTTCTGTCTTCTCTGCTATTTTCAATTAACTCCTTCCCATTCAGTGTCATCTGTGAGCTGGCGTGTCTGTCCAGCACAGCTGGCCTAGCTTCCTAAAGAGCAATCACTTCATTATTAACATTACAATAGTGCCAGCTGAGATTGGGGCCCCATTGCGATGGGCACTGCACGGACACACATCTAGAAATAGTCCCTGCCCCAGCTGAGATTGGGGCCCCGTTGTGCCAGGCGCTACCCACACAGCGAGAGACAGTCCCTGCCCCAAAGAATTTGCAACGAGACAAAGAGTGGAAGGGGGAGCTGATGCTTGCAGGCCAAGTGACTTGCCCATTTCACACAGTAGGTCATTGGCAGAGGTGGGAATAGTACCTAGTTGTCCTGACTCCCAGTCACAATGCCAACCATCATGCAGCACTACCTAGTAGCACTCGCAGCTGGTGTAAGATGTGACTTTCCACACGCCCCTCCCACCAAATCTCCTGAAGCATCTCTTCTTCCCTGCCGCCCGTCTCATAAATTTACTGTCTTTCTCCTGACCTGGTTGCTAACAGGAGGTATGGGAGTTAGAAGCTAGCTTACCTGCTGGAGCTAAAAGGGATTCTGTATTCTGCAGTGGGTTTTATCCCGGGTTCTGAAAGGGATACGGACTCTAGTGCATTAAAGCAGGGGGCTGGGAGCCAGGACTCCAGGGTTCCATCCCTGGGGGAGTGGGACCTAGTGGGTTAGAGCAGGGGATTGGGAGCCAGGACTCCTCATTTCCCTCCCCAAACCAGGCATAGAACCCAGGTCTAATGGATTTTTTGGGGGGAAGGGGGGGTAGGAGGGTGTGTGGAATTGAGAGCCAGGACTCCTGGGTTCTATCCCTGCTTTGTGAGGGGATTGGGGTCTAATGGGTTAAAGGGGGTGCCTGGGAAACAGGACTCCTGGGTTCTATGCCTGGCTGTTCTAGTTTGTTGGGAATCAGGAGCTTTTTGTGCTGATCGTGCTCTTCTCCCCAAATGTCCTGCCTGTTTCAACATTCAGAGAGCAGCCCTCTGGGCACTGGAACTCCACGACCTAATAGTAATTAGCCCTGGAATTACTCTGATCCTGTTGCGTTTTTCCAGGGTTATGTCACTGATCCCAGTGTGTCACTCCCGTGAGCAGTGCCACGGTTCCCTGCCATAGGGGACAGCAAAGGAGGCTGGCACTCAGTTGTGTGGGTGTAGCAGTGCTGAACAGCTCATCCGTGGAGATCTGCCGGGCGAGGGCTGGGAGTCAGGACTCCCGGCTTGTATCTCAGCAGGCACATCCATCCCCCTCTCTCTGTAGAATGGAAATGCAGTGATGCAAAGGAGCTCAGTGGTGGGCAAAATATTGCCGGGTCTGGAGATGCTTTTCCGGCACCCTTACTGAGTAGCCTCCATCCTGGGGGTCTCCCTCAGGACAGCTGTGCCTGGGGAGCCCTGATCTGAAAGGAGTTGTCTTCTGTAACCTCCCATCACCCCACTTAGATATCCCTCTGCAGTGGCCTGACTGCCCCAAACGTCCTTATCCTAGAGCCCACCTGCCCCTAGCACTCTTGTGCTCATAGGTTCGGCCATTGTGGGGATAAGAGGTGTCTTGGCTGGATGGCTGTTCAGGCACAGGTACCATCATCCCACCCAGAAGGCGAGGCCTTCGCCCAGCACCCCACCCAGAGCCACCATGGCACAACAGGAGGGGGTGGACTGCTTGGAAGGGAGAGGGGGTGCTGGCTAGATTGGAGACAGAGACCCTAGGGGCCACAGGGAGAGGGGAGCAAGACTAGTTGGGCAAAGGGATTGGCGCTGATGGGAGCCCGGAGGCTGAGGTCAGAGAGAGGCATTTGGAGGAGGAGGATGGAGTTGTCTCTGGTGCTCTGGATAATGTGCCGTTGGTCCAAACTGTTATGGATCCTGTTATGGAGGCCCTGGAGAACATAGTGGATCTACAGCCAAATCCATCTTAGATTCAGCTTGCGGGTTCTGGAGAACAGGACCATGTGGATCTGTGGCCAAACCCACCCTGGCTTTGGTTCTCTGCTGGAGTATGTAGCATCTGGCTCCACTTCACCCCTGTAGGATACGAGAGACTGCCCGGATGGCCGCGTCAAATCTTGCTGCGGCAAGAGTCAGACACTGCAGCCGTGAAGTTTGAAAGCCTGGCTTGAGGATTTGTTGCTAGATAAGTGGAAAAAGAGGAGTTCAGTCTCTCCTCCATTCCGGGCACCAAATGCCCACATGGCAGGGCCCAATCATTGATGATCTACCTGACTGGCAGGGTTACCCGGCTGTAGCTACAGTCGAAATCTTTTTTTTTTTTTTTTTAACTTCTTCCCTTTGTGAGTGAGCTCTCTAAAGCACCAACCACTCGGGTGCCAGTTTGAATGCCCACCTGGGCCAGTGCGCTGCTTGCTATCCCCACCTCCACCCTTTATAGCACAGTTGGCTTCAAATCGCTTGCCATTACGGCGTTCACCTATATCTCTAGTAACTGTCTGTCTCTCTGTCCCATAGGCAAATCATCTGAAGTCTCGGAGCTTTTACCAGGCTTTCAGATAGGGCACATGGAAGGTACTTGCCTTGCTAGATTTGGGGCTGGCAGGGTGGGGAAATTATGCCACCACTTAACTTTTATGCAGTGAACATTACTCTTGGATCATGACTGAGGCAGAGCTAGGAGGATGTGAGCCAGTGGGAGGAGAGAAGTAGCTAAAGGGGCTTTAATTCGCTCTTTCGGAGAGTTTTTGTTCCATGTCTGTACAGCGCCTGGCACAATGGGGTCCTGGTCCGAGAGCGGGGCTCCTAACTACTACCATAATAAACCTAATAGCGATAAAAATGTACAGTGCTCAGCATGGGGTGCTGGGCGCTATTGTAATACTTAAGTAATTACCTCATAATAATTATCCATTTCTAGGTAATATCATCCAGTTCTGGTTTTGTGCCGCAGCGGGTGACAGTGCTGTGGGTGCCCCATGGAATTCTTTGATAGTGCTGGTGGAAACGCATTTCCTGCAGAACGGAAATGGCGATATTCCAAATTCGGGGCGGGATCTTGACAGGCTCCGGTCTCCCCAAGTTGGGGGCGGAATGCCAAAAATACCGTATCAAAGCACTTTGTTTCAGTGTTTATATTTCATTTGGTTGGGGGCCAGAGGCTTATATAACACACTACAAGTCTGAACAGCAGTACTTTACACGAAATTGGTATCTTCCTGCAAAACGCTTTGATTTCATCAACGTGGCATTTTCTGACAGAAAACTGTCCTGATGGAATATTTTTGACCTGGCTTTACTCCTTAGTGCAAGCCTCAAAGGGGCCAGACTCAAGGTGACAGTCCCCCCGGAGCAAGGGTGGGCAAACTACAGCCCGTCAGGGCTTTGGATCTGGCCCGCGGGACCGCCTCCTGTGGTGCCGCAGGCCCCACGCCGCTCTCAGAAGTGGCTGCCACCACGTCCCTTGGGCCCAGGAGGGCAGAGGGCTCTGTGCGTTGCCCTGGCCTCCAGACACTGCCCCCCCGCAGCTCCCATTGGCCATGAATGGGGAACCGTGGCCAATGAGAGCTTCAGGGGAGGTACCTGGAGGTGTGGCAAGGGCAGTGCGTGCAGACACACACCTCCCCTCCCCCGAGGCCGCGCAGGGACGTGGTTCCGGCCGCTGGCCAGGGCACACATGCAGGGAGCCTACTCTGGCCCCGGTCCACGCCACTGCCACCCCAGAGCCCGACCCCCTCCTGCACCCTGTCCCCCAACTCCCTGCCTGCACCTCACACCCCTCCTGCACCCCAGCCCCCTGCCCTGAACCCCCGTCGCACCTCACATCCCTCCTGCACCCAACCCCTTGCCCTGAGCCCATTCTTGCACACCGCACCCCCCCACACACCCCGCACTCCCTCCCACACCCCAACCCTGCATACAATTTCCCTACCCAGATGTGGCCGTCAGCCCAAAAAGTTTGCCCACCCCTGCTCCAGAGCCTGAACTCTACATCTCCTGGTGTTTGTTTAGATTACGCCCTACTTGTGGTAGGGCACAGAGCAGAGTTGAGTATGTACCCTGCCTCCCAGCCCAGACCCTACTCCCCTTCCAGAGCCAGGGATAGAACCCAGGAGTCCTGGCTCCTAGCCCCTTCCCATCCCCCTCTACTCTAACCCACTTGACCCCACCTTCCTTTCAGACTACAAGATATAGGCCTGATGGAGGGGGTCAGACAGACCATGGTGGTGATCTGCTTGCCTGGCCTCCATCACTGTCCTATCTAAGCATCTCACACTCTTCAATGTATTTATCCGCATGCTATTTCAGGGATTCCCTCCACCTCGCCATGCCAAGGACTCTGGGCCCGCCATGATTTCTCTTCCCCCCTCCCCACCCCCGCAATGCCAGGAGCTAGTGTGTTTCCAACCATGCTGTCTGGGAAACTAGTCGTGCAGGGCATCTATATGTTAAACTGCATCTGGACACTGAGCTGTGGGCAGGAGAGTTATGCCTGAAGGTGTTAATGGCACCAGAAACTTGTTCCTTCATTTATAGACCATTGCAGAGTTGCTTGAAACTGTATCTTTGCTAATCAGATGCTGGGGCCCCTGTGGCCTCCATTTTCCCCCTTCTGGACTTCTGATTTCTCCCCAAAATCAATAGGGTTTCACCCAAAAACATTCCCTGGAGTTTTGGAGTGGATTGCATGCAGCGTTCACACTTTTCTGTGTTAAACAAATGCCATCAAGGGCTTTGCCAAGGTTGTCCAAACATCCACTCCCTCTTTGGATCTTACTAAATTCTTAGCCTCAACAGTATCTTGTGGCAATGAGTTCCGCAGGCTAATCACCCACTGACTGGCTCTGTTTTGTATACACCACTTCTTTAACCTAGCATACAAAGGCGACCAAGATCTGATGGCTGGGGGATGAAGTAAGACAAATCCAGAGTGGAAATAAGGGCAGATTTTTCCCCAGGGGGCAGAATTAACCCTGGGGACAACTGCGCCCAGGACGGGGCAGATTCTCCAGCCCTCGGAGTCTTTCCACTGAAATCAGGCATCTCTCTAAGCTCCTCCCTAGCTCAGCTACCAGATCAGGGCTTGAAATCTACAAAAAGGGTGAAGTTAAGGGTGCTCTTGCTCAACCCCAGATCTGGGCTGCAGGCAGAAATTGCTGGCGGAGGTTCTCAGCCTGGACTATGCAGCAGGGCCGAATGGTCCTGTCTGGGCCTTGAAATCTATGCAAGTTCCCATGGTGATTTTTGTGTATCTAACTCCAGATGCCTAATAATAGTAATGCCTAGCTCCTTCAGAGCACGCTCCGTTCGCACATCTTTACAAAGGTGATCAAGATCATAATCCCCACTTTAGAGAAGGGGAAACTGAGGCACAGAGCCTTGATGTGTCCAAGTCACCCAGCAGGCCACTGGCAGAGCTAGGAATAGAACTGGGTATTTTCCACCAGGCCCTGCTGTCTCCCAGTTGGTCTGGTTTGTTTCCCATGGGGCCTCCTGTAAATCAGCCCCTCTTAGGGTGTCTCGAACCCAAAGCCCCAGGTCAAACTTTGGCCTTGGTGTATGCCTCGGTGTCCCCAGGGCAGGGAGGCCCTGATGCCAATCCGCTGGGTGGGTTCAGTTGGCGACTGAGTCCATAATGAGAAACCTCTCCCTCTTCGCAGACTGGCTCTTCGTGGTCCTGGTGGTGCTGGGATTCCTCCTCCTCTTCCTCCTCTTCGGCATCTGCTGGTGCCAGTGCTGTCCCCACACCTGCTGCTGCTATGTCCGGTGCCCCTGCTGCCCTGAGAGGTGCTGCTGCCCAGAAGCTCGTGAGTTCTCTCCTCTGTCTCCTGCTGCACGACAAACTGACAAAAGGAGTGGGCGGGGGGCACTCCTGGGTTCTGTCTGCAGCTCTGCGGGGGGAGTGGTGTCTTGGGGGGGTGGGGGGGGAGGAGGGCTGGGAGCCAAACTCCTGGGTTCTCTCCCTGATGCTGGGAGGGCAGTTTGGGGAGGTCCTGCAATGGGGCTATTTCTGCTGATCTGCATGTTCCGATCCCTCAGACTTCCCCTGCTTTCTCTTTTCAGTCTACACCGCTGGAAAAGCTGCCACTGCCGGCGTCCCCAGTGTTTACGCTCAGAGTGTCGGTGCCCCCAGTATCTACTCCCACCCAAACCCCGGGAAGCTAGGTCCTCCTGCCCCCATGATCCCCATGGGCCCCATGTACAACGGTTATGGGGCAGAGTACGACAGAGCCAGCTCCGGTAACTTTGCATTCTGTGTCAATTATGTGTTCCCACCATAGGGACTGTGCTGGAGTCAGTGACCCCAGCTGGGGGTCTGCCAACTGGCTGCAGCTCCACTGGAGTCGATGCTGATTTACATCACCTGTGGCTATCCTGAGGGTAGGATGTAAGCTGGATAGCAGCATGCCCAGTCCTAGTTACATAGTTACGGTGCTCAGCTGACTCCTTTTGTGGGGCAGGGACTGTGTCTCACTGCGTCTGGGCAGCACCTGGCACGACGGGGCCCCGATCTCAGCTGGGGCAGGGACTGTGTCTCACTGCGTCTGGGCAGCACCTGGCACAATGGGTTCTACCAGATTATAAATAAATAATAGGTTTCCTGGTCACATGGTAGAACTATGGGCCCTGATCCTGCAAACCTGCAGCGCTGGGACTTGCAGGACTAGGGCGCATAGAGGGGAAATCATGGCACCGAGCCGCAAGGCTGAAACTATTGATGTCCTTAATCTCTCTTGATTTCCTTGTAGTTGGTGGGAACAGCTCCCAGGTGCCCCTGCTCCGGGATACCGATAGTGGTGGGAACTCAGGTAAGGAGAAGCCAGGCTGTGAAGCAGAGACCTGGCAGATGACAGTACAGCAGCAGGAGTTGGTGATGTGATACTGCTGCCCCCTGTTGGATGGAGTCGGCACTGCTCCTCTGTGTCTCATCGTGTCCCCTTCAGCTCAGGCAGCCTGAGCCATGCTGCTAAGCAGAGTCAGGCCTGGACAGTGCTAGGATGGGAGACCTATGGTATAGGGAGTTGTTAGAAGGGCACCCTTGTCTTTTGGAGTCGGAGGCAGCGCTGGGGAGTGCTCTGCTGGGGGGAGGAGTGCTCTCCCCTTGCAGTCAGTGCTGGCCCCAGTGCCCCAGCCTGGTGGTAGGGGGCGCTGTGCGGAGAGAGGTGCTCACCAATCAACATAAAGACTGCTTAGCATGTTGATTCTTAAAGGTCTGTAAGTGCCCCATACACCCAATGGCCAAATCCCACACTGGGCAATTCCAATCCACCCCCATTCACTTGGATCTGAGATTCTCCTTCTTTTGCTGTTGTGCGGTGTTATGTGCAGCTGTTTCCCAGCTGCCCCTTCCCAGAGGTGGCTGCATCTCAGGCATTGCTATTAAGCTGTACCTAGCTGCCTTGCCTCAGAGGTAGCTGCATCTTACTGGTAGTGCCTGCCCCTTCCAGACAGGATTGGCACTAAGGGAGTCTCTAACTCACTCCCCTCTCCCCAGCAGTGCGGAGCGGATACCGGATCCAGGCTAACCAGCAGGACGACTCCATGCGGGTCCTTTATTACATGGAGAAGGAGCTGGCCAATTTCGACCCTACACGGCCGGGCCAGGCCAATGGCAAGCTGGAGAAAGGTGAGTAGCCTCCTGGCTGTAGATTCCTCTTCTCCTTCCACCCAGCAAGAAACCCAGGGGATGCTAAGAGCTCCCTGCAGCACAACACCCCCTAGAGCCATGCTTGGGCATCGGGACCAGCCCTGTTAGGGGAGAGTGCCCCCATGCTGCTCCCTGCAGCACAGTGCCCCCTAATGCTGCCCTGGGGCATCGGGGCCAGCCCTGGCTGCTGGGGAGAGCACGGAGGCCTATTTAACCCTTTCTTTCCCCTCCCAGTCTCAGTGATGAGTGAGATCAGCTCCCTCCACGAAGACGACCGGCGCCAGGAGCTGCGCCAGGGGCTGGGGCGGCTGCGGACCCGGCCCATGTCACCCATCAGTGACGTGGGGGAGGGGGAGAGCGGGCGGGGTAGTGAGGCCCGGCACCACCTCCTCCCCCCTCCCCGGCGGGGCGAGCGCTATGAGGAGGAGCATTACGCCCGGCGGCCCCGCTCCCACTCTGTGGATGACCTGGACCGTGACTGGTCCCCACAGCCGGAGGGACGGGGCAGGGGGCGGGGCAGGCAGCGTCGGGACAGCTCCCCCGACTGGCGGGAGGAGGAGTACTACGGCCAGCGGCGCAGCCGCAGCAGGGACGACCTACGGGAGCTTGATAGGGGCCACTACGACGGGCGGCTCCTGCAGGAGGTGCTGCGCAAGAAGGGGAGGGCCGGCAGCCGCGAGGACCTGGATGGGGGCAGCGGGTCCAGCGCGCGATCAGGGAACAGGAGGGACCGGGATGAAGATGGCTTCCCCCCACCGCCACCACCCTACACAGAAACAGAGTCGGTCTCCTCCCGGGGCAAGAATGACCGCAAGCTCCGACGGGTAAGCGGATGGGATGCAGGGCCCTGCCCCTCTAGGGGGCACCAGCTGCCATCCCACTCCACAGTGTGGCGCTGGCTCGGGAGGAGGAGTGGGGCATGGCAGCAAATGGGACGTGGCGTTTCTCCTCTAGGGGGTGCCAAGTTGCAAATCCATGTCAGGAACGGCAGCTGTGGCTCACAGATCTAGCTGTGATCTAGGTTCATTGTTCCTCCACGTAAGGGTCTTTGACAGGATGTGTGGGGCAGGAAGCCTTTAACTGCCGGAGGATAAATCTCTCTTCAGGGGATAGAAGAGGGGCAGGCGGATGTACACGGGCCCACATAACTGAGAGCACTAGACTCCAAAACTCCTCCAAGCCAACGGGCGGCTCAGGGCTCTGCTGTCCTGTCCCTCTTGGACTCTGCCTTCCCCAGAAAGCCCTGGTGGCTGGCTGGTTGCTGAATTGGCTACTGAACAGGTGTTGTGGCTGCCTGTTAGGGTTTCATCACAAGTCTCCTATTGTTTGGTGCGGGGATTTTTTTTTTTTTAAAGCAGTTTTCTTGTACTCATAGCTGGGGAAAGAGGGCTGGGGAGGCATTTCCCCTCACATCTTGGGGCATGTGCTGATTTTTTTCTCTCTCTTCCCTCCCCCCCCCCACCTCTTTTGAGACTGGAACTAGACTGCAAAATAAGCACCCAAGATGATGTGGGGTTTTTTGTTTGTTTTTGTTTTTTTTAAAGCCAATCCCCTGGGGTTTTTTGAGTTCCTGGCCCATGTTGTCTGTGCACGTGTTGATGACGGAGGCAGGCTTCCAATATATTCCGTCACTCCCCTTGTCTCGCTAATATCCTGGGACTCTCACAGCTGTAATGCTAATGCCTTGGATTTTCTCCCACTTAAGGGCCTTTAGACCACCCCCCCTCCCCAACCCCCGAGGAAACCACCTCTTGATCTTTATGATCAGCTCAACAGGTGGTGTGCTCTGAGTCTCACTGGAAGGCATTTCAACTCTGGGGGGGCCTGTGGCCAGGAGACGGGCCCTCTCTTTGCTGATCCTGCCACATCTGTTTCCTTCCAGAACCCCGACCTCAGCAGAGAGAGCTTGGTGGTTTAAATGCAATCCACTTTCCTTCCCGATCGCTTTCCTAGAGCACCACCAGTGCAGGAGATGGAGGCCATGGATCTGAGAAGGTCACGTCTTTCCTCGGAGGGCACACAGGACACTGGCTGGCCCGTTGCCACGAGGCTCAGCAAAGCAGTTGGGGCCTTGTCTACCTGGTGCTTTTATTATGAATTGGATCAACGTGCAGCCTGAGATTTCTCAAGTCAGGCAAGGGACAGGGGCTCCTGATTGCCACGGAAAAGCAGGGCGTTACTGGGGAAATCTGGAGCCCTTGTTGGGGAAGAGGGTGTCTCTAAATTTTAGCCTTAATTTTAACATAGCATTTGGTTGAAATATTTGGGCCAGCTCCTCAACTGGTATAAATTGATCTCAGTTGAGCGACGTCTGCTTGACACCAGCTGGAGACCTGGCCTATTATTTTGGCTCCAATTCCCAGCTGGTCCACAGAACTGTAAATTTTTTCCCTGGATGTTTTTAAATATTTTGAAGCTTTTTTAAGACTAACTTTTTTCAAAGCTGTCTTAAAATTACATATGTTTTTTAGCAGAGTTGTGGAATCCCAGGTGCTGTACATACTTTTGCAAAAAGCTGGACCGTTTTTTTTATCGGTAGGCTTTTGAGATTTTTCTGATTGTTGTAGAAAATAAAAAATTCAGCTAAAAATGTGTGTGGGAGGGGATTAGGGGAATGGGACACGGGGCCTTTCCCCTCTAGGGGGCAACAGAGACAGCCACAGTGAGGGGCTACAGACCCCAACATTGTGACTGTAGCTACCATGATCCAGTGGGCGGGAACAAATCGCATCAGCTATTGGCACCCACAGCTCAGGGGCAGAGAGTTGGATTGGCTCCAGACACCGAGCCCAGCCTACCCCACCTCGGTTGCTCCAGGGTGAGGCTGAGGCGACTGGGTGGATTGAAGGGGGCATGTGCAATTCTTCCCTCTACGGGATGGAATCAGAACTGCACGCTGAGGGGGGAGCTTCCCTGGGTGCAACTGGTGCAGGACACTGCCTGAGTCTACAAAGCCTGGGCCAATTGCCCTGAGAGGGGGGAGCTGCCCTCAATGTGAGCGATGCTGCTTGAGTCTGCAGCGACCCTGAGCCCATCGCTGGGAGAAGGGGGAGCTGCCCCAAGTGTGACCAATGCAGCAACACTGCCTGCAAGAGCCTGAGCCTCTTGCTGTGAAGTCCTGGCCATTCGTCCCTGGATTGAGCCCTCCACACTATGGCCCTGGGGGCAGTGGCTGGGCTCTATTTGTGCCCTCAGCTGGATGCCTGAAGGCTCTAGGGGTTAATTTTTACATCCTGGAGGACACTGGGCAGGTGCCACAGGGAGTGCTCCCCTCCTCTTCCCATCCTCTCAGGCCCCTGATCCGGTTGGGAATAGAGAGATCCAGGAGCTGCTCTGAAGTGGGCTGAGCAGCAGAGACTGGTCACCTGGGCCCAACCTTGTTTTCCTTGTTGGAAAAACAAGTGCTCTGCGGCGGGGCAAATGAGGGCAGGACTGTGCCTGTTTAAAAAGTATTAAAGGGGAAAAATTGGGCAGCAAAAATAGAAAAGCAGAGGCTGAAAGGCAGCAGTGGCAGGAGTTTGTGACTTACTGGCTCTGCCTGGTGGTGGCTGTGGGAGCTGCAAGCAATTGGTAAGGAAACCGAGAAGCCGTGGGGTGATGGGGAAGGTCCTTTTGTGGGTCATTAACTGGTCAGAAGACAGGAAGCAAAGATTAGGAATAAATGGTGAGTTTTCACAGTGGAGAGAGGTAAATAGCAGGGACCCCCTGGCTCTGTGTTGTTGAACATAGTCATAAATGATCTCAAAAAGGGGGTGAACAGCAAAGTGGCAAAGTTTTCAGGTACAAAATTGCCAGGGGATGTTGTGAAGGCCAAAAGTGTAACGAGATTCAAAAAAACTAAAGTTCCTGGAGGTTAGGTCCATCAATGGTTATTAGCCAAGATGGTCAGGGATGTAACCCCATGTGGTGGGTGTCCCTAATCCTCTGTGTGCCAGAAGCTGGGACAGGATGACAAGGGATGGATCAAATGATAATTGCCCTGTTCTGTTCATTCCCTCTCAAGCATCTGGTATTGGCCACTGTTAGAGACAGGATCCTGGGCTAGCTGGATCATTGGTCTGACCCAGTATGGCCGTTCTTGTGACTCCTGAATTATATCCCCAGCTCTGGGAGGGGAGTCGGGTCTAGTGGGTTAAAGCAGGGTGAGGGCCTGGGAGGCAGGACTCCTGGGTTCGACTCCTTGCTCTGGCATGTAACTGTGCAAGTTCAGATTATGCATATAAACATCCCAATCTTTTTGTGAATCCTGCTGAGCTCTGTGTTCTCGTGTGGCCATGAGCAGCACAGGCCAGTAGGAACGTTCTAGCCCCTGGTGTTTAGAGTATCCCCACCTAGTGGGACAAACCCTGGGAACTGCAACTTTTTACAAGTGTTCCAATTAGCCAGTGGAACTCCAGCCCACAAGGTATTACCCAGCTGAAGAGCTCTGTAGGATCCAGGAGAGGATTTAAATTTACTTGGACAATGGGAGTCTCTCTAAGTAAATCAAAGATGCAGGTATAAAATTTAAGCCGTCTCACTTAGAGAGGTGTTAATAGGCAAACTCCTGCCATTCCAAAAGGCCCTGAGCTACTACAGCTGCTAAAATCCCTGGGGGAAGTAAAACAACAGCATGCAAGTCTCAAGCTCCCTGGTGGAGGAAGGCTAGGGGCTCCTACCGCTGTACGGGGGCGATGGCACTGTGGTAATGCAATGGACATGCAGAAAGATGAAGGGAGACCCGGACACGCTTGCAGTGGGAGCCCTGGGTTTGCAGCTAGAGTCCAGTGTTGCAATGAAAGTTGCATGCAGGGTGATCATCATTTACAGTCCAGCTGGGCTAGAACTTCACCAAGGGAGCAGCTGTGACTGCAGAGGCCAAAGCAGGGGGTGAAATGGGGGCCAGCTGGGGCCACTCTAATGCCAGCACCCTGCTGGACTCAGGGCTGCGAAGGCGAGATGTACCCACCCAGGTACCTTACCTCCTGCCATGTGGGCTTGCTGCCATCTCTGATCGTGCTGTGGGGGTGTCCCAGCTCTTTCCCCACCCTGCCTGCTGCTTTGTGTTTGTGCAGTGCCTGGAGCAATATGGCCCTGGTCTTGGCTGGCTCTTAGTTACCACAGTAATAAATGTGATTAGATCTCAGTGATCCCTGGGGCAGGGTCTGTGGCCTGGACTATGCCAAGGGGGCAGCCTGCCCTGGGAACCTAGGAGTATACAGACCCAGCGGCTGCAAAGTGGAGGCTGGAAATCCAGGCCTGAGCTGTTGTGAAGCCACTCGCTGCAATCAAGAGGAGAGAGAGAGAGAGATGCTTGGCACAGAACAAGGGACAGGATCCCAGCATCCACCACCTGCCACACAGCAGGGGGCCTGGGGCCTGACTGGAGCACCTAGGTGCTACCGTAATTCACCTAATAAACAGTAATATACAGCACCTAGCACAATAGCGTCCTAGGCCATGATGGATGCCTTGGTGCTACCATAATACGCCTAATAAACAACAATGAACAGTGCCTAGCACAGTGGTGTCCTGGTCCAGGAATGGGTGCTACCATAATACACCTAATAATAATGTGTAGCTCATAGCACAATGGAGTCCTGGTAGGTGCTACCGTAATACATCTAATATACTACTACTACAGTAGACCCCCCCCCCCTTTATTTGCCCCTCCATTATCCAGCTCTCCATATTAACCAAACAACCAGCGCACACAGGTCCAGAAGCAGGCGATCTCTCCTGTGGCCGCGAGACAGCACTGCAGCATCACACTTCCCCATTCTCCACATTACCTGAGTGTTTTATTATCTGATCTGGTCCCGGTCCCAATTCGATGGGATAAACAAGGTCCTGCTGTACCAGTCCTTCTACTTCTAGTACTGCTAATAAATGTCTCCTCCAGTGATCAAGACGAGGCCTCGTCAAAAAGCGGGGGGGAGCCCCTGCCAGAACCGGGAAGCGATAGCAAACCCTCAGTTGCTGTCTGCGCAGCGGCCCCGCAGGCTGGGAGACCAGGATTTCTGGAAAGGCTCTGCTTGAGCTCAAACAGGAGTTTGTTCAGGGCAGGTCTCGGGCCTGTGTGACACAGGACATCAGAGTAGATGATCACAACGGTCCCTCGTGGCCTTGGAATCTATGAATCCGTGAGAGCCTGCGCTATGTAGCAACACGGCACCAGGTCTGGAACACGGGGAGGGCAACTGGGCATGGGAGATGGGTCCCCAAGTGCAGCATATGACCCATCACCTCAGGTGCCTCCCCCCCTCTGACAGAGACCCCGACGGGCTCTGTCTTTTCCCTGTGCTTTGGCAGTACTTTGCACAGCTTGGCCTGCCCATAAAACAGCGCATTGAGTCCCTGAGGTGTGTCAGCTCGCCAACTCCCAGGCTGCCCACCAGAGGGACGCGTGTGCGCTCACATGCAGCACTGCGTGACCCGTCACTGCACAAACAAGCCAGGACCAGGCAGCAGGACACACACACGCAGAGTTTATGCCCCAGTTAATCTAGAGCTCACCAGCCCCGGCCTGCAGGAGAGGCGGGACTCTCCACTGGCTTTTAGCCATGCGGGGACATGGGCACACAGGAATAGTTGTGATTCTAGCCAAAAGGGGAGTGGGAAGGTGTATGTGTGTGTGCAAACACACACACAATGCCATACACACAAAGACCACACACACACATGCAGAGTGCAAAGTTCATCCGTTCCAGCAGGGGGCAGCACGGATGTACACACATTCATTACAGTGAATATATATAATGCAAAACATTCCCAGTCAAAACATCCCTCTATCTATTCATCCATCCCCATACACACCCTTGTATCTATCTTCCATCTCCCTCTCTCTTGTATCACCTCCTTCTGTGTCTGTTATCCATGGACCATTTGATCTCCTCTGTCCATCTATCTTCCTAAAAGCAAAACTAGAACCCAGGAGTCCTGACTCCCAGGGCTTCTGAGAAATCCTTCCCCAGCCATAACAGCTCACCCCCATAATATCAGATGCAGAGCTAACAAACTGGGACAAGGGCTCACATTGGTGAGCGATCCAAGCCGCAGACAACCTCAGCCCGGGGAATTGTAGACCAGTCAGTCTAACTTCGATACCTGCAAAGATATACCAGAAGCAATGATTAAACAATCTATTTGTAAGCCCCTAGAGGATAATAGGGTTATAAGGAATAGCCAGCACGAATTGGTCAAGAAGGAAACAAACCTAACTAAACTAATTTCCTCCTTTGAGAGGGTAACTGGCCTAGTGGATTGGCGGCGGAGCAGTAGATGTGATATATCTTGATTTTAGTAAGGCTTTTGAGACAGTCCCACATGAGATTCTCATAAGCAAACTATCCTACTACACACATCTATCTATCTATCTATCTATCTATCTCCATACACTCTATCTATCTAATCTATCTATCTATTGCCAAACACAACTCTCTCTCTTTTCTCTTCCATCTCTCTGCATCTCTCTCTTTTCCTGCCCCCTTTCTCTCCCTGTCTCTCCCTCTCTCTCCAGTGAGGCCTGACGATTTATTTTTAGTCTCTTCTCCAGGGCCTGGGGCCCCACCGGCCTGTCTGCAGCCAAAGCTGCAAACGCA